GACTAGTGATGGAAAATTTGAGGAAAAGATCGACCGGCAAATTGGAGTATCCAGTGGCGTTCTGCGTGAACTAGCCCGACCTACTGTGACTAAAGCAGAGCTCAGTCTGAAAACTGAGCTCTCGATGTTCAAATCGATCGTTATCCCCATGCTTACCCACGGTCATGAGTCGTGGACTATGACTGAAAAACTTCGATCTCGGGTACAAGCAGTTGAAATGGACTTTCTGAGACGAATCGCTGGCCTTAGCCTCTCGACCGAAACATGCGAGTGTACAGCCGCTGTTCCTTTATATTGAGAAGTCACGACTCCGATGGCTTGGGAGGTGTTGCGGATCTTTCAGAAAGAAAGGCGAAACAGCGATTACTCGCCGACCGGTCGAAGACCTCAGGGACGGCCAAGAATAACCCGTGGCAGGTGTATCGAAGGACTCTATGTTCGGCAGAAGCTGAGACCCTGCAGCAAGAGCAGACACTCTTCGACGCATCTGCTTCAGCGACCCGAAAGGATAAGCGTTCACAGACTGACTGACAGACTGACTGACAAAAGAATCTTTACGTTTCTTTGCTATCGAATGCTCTCGAAAGCACATAAAGGCGGCGCTAGTTTATTTGATATATCTAAGGCATGAAATTTAATACACATTCTGCTTTAAATGATTTCCCGTTCTGATTTATTTCAGTTTCATGTAACGTACCATGCTTATTCGAACCTGGGGAATTTTTAAATTCTGTACTTCAGACCTGATTGTTTGTCACGCAGTACCAAATTTCTGCTACCCTTTAGTTTCAACTTTCTGCCCTGATAACGAACAATATAGTTACTGCCCTAAAATCGGCTCAGATAAATAGTTTTGTGAACGTTTGGTTTGCCTAAAACCATTTCAGCTGAAGACTTTCTTTGCTGGAGAATCTTATTATAAACGTACAACCGCCATTCTGCTGCATCGCTTTTCGAAACTAGTAAAATAATACCTAACGAAAACGAGGTTCATCATCTACTACAAGAGTAGAGTAGCACTGGGGAGGGTCTGTTCTAGAAATAAGGCATCGAGCAGCCCAACAGAAGCCTAAGCTCAGTCTGGAGGATAAACCATAACAGCTGTAATAAAATTTATGTGAGTAGAACGTGCAGACGACAGCTTCAGAACCAAGGAACGTCGATCAGCAATTCGCTACTGTGAGTTATGTTAATCATGTCACGAAGCACTTGGACCAAGGGAAAACGTTACTCTGCTGTCTCTTGGTAGAGTTTAGTTCTCCATCTATTATCTTCTTCCAAACCAGCATTTCTATAGATAGGCTCTGATTAAATTAAATCAAGACATACTTCGTTAGACTGGCGACTATTCTACCAACAGAAAACAATGCGGCCATTACATTACGTAGGTTTACTTCTCAAAATAATTATTCTGACCTGATAAAAGGAGCCGTATTAGCCGTATTAGTTCCTCTGCTTTCATCTTCTGGCGGCAAAGGCTCATCGACTCCTCATATTTTCTTTTTCAAATGTATACACGACACGACAATCACTACAGCAGTAAGTAACGTCACTTCGGTTGTATCATCACCCACCAGAAACAACCTATGACGATGACGATTATTTATTATTATTTTATTACTATTATTATTATCATTATTACCGATCACCGATCATCGATCATGATGATAACTGATGGTGATGCTGACTGAAGATTATGACTGATAATGATTAAAATTTATGATTCATGATGATGAGTGACTATTGATGATGATTTCTTATTAATGATG